AGCAATACCGGTCCTAAATCAGAGTTATCAAAAGGTTAAAGTTACGATCTGATCATCAAGGCCTAATGACCTCAAAGAAAGCCCTGACTGAGACTGCGAAAGTCCGTAAACAAGTATGATTGAGATAATGAGATATGAGCTTCTAAGTATGTAAGTCAAGTTACGAAACCACTTGTCCTAACCTCTCAGTCTAGGGTAATTAAGCTTTAAATCTCCAAGGAAAGGCATTACTAGGGTTGCGTAATCTGGTACGTCTGGTTTGGTTTATGAGCTTAATCTAACATGTTGCATGAGTGTGAGTGAAATTAGATTTATCGCTGAGAAGACCAGTTTAATCGCCTTCTTTTGTATAGCGGCTAAACACCTCTCTATTAATCAATAAATCAAGCATGAATAGTTACTTCCCAGCTCTGATGATGTCTATCATATGATGGACGAAATCTCAGCCAGTTTTCAACCAAAACGATGGAAGAGGTCTCATGGACTGCTCAACCCGACCGTCGTATAAAAGCCAAACGGCTGAGGTACAACGCGATTCAGTCTTCATCTGGGGAGATCGACCTACGAATTCTTTCTTAATGCACTTTCATACGAAATGAAAATCCCCCTAACAATGTTATCTTAGGAGATTCATCGAAATCCAGTTTCTCTTCCTGTCTAGAAAGTAGCTGTTATTGGGTATATTCTGAAGTTTTATTCATTAGCATAATTCAATAATTAGCTTCATATTACAAAGTGGAGGTCCAATTATTTATTAAATAAAATAGCATAAGACAAAAAAATAATTCTGCAAGTTTGCAAAATTTTTTATATAAGAAATGCATTTTAGGCAATCTGCTAATATAGAGCATTAGTACAAGCAGCCAATTTTGTCTGCAAATTAAATGAAAGAATTATGTCTCTAATTCGCTCTGATAGCTAGTTGATGTACCCATGTTGTTGATCTTAAAAACTGCTATTTGTATTTCATATTTTATTTATGGTATACTTTTAGGCAGAGAAAGAGTTGAAGCAAAATATTTTCATGGAACTTCCTTATGTTTATGCGAGTAACTATTAGATTTATTATCTGTTGATTAAGCCGTATAAGCCGATTCCCAAAATCACTTGAGATTTGTTCCCCTTAGTGGAACTATGTTATTATTTAAGTATGTATGTGAATACATGTTTTGACTCGAGTTAGTACCAAGATAATGAAGTAATCGTAGTTTATATAAATGAAGCATAGCAACATGCTCATCCTCTTCTGAATTTTTCAAATTATTTGGTGGTGAAAGAAGTTAGGTATAATTGCCTCATTGCTCAGCATATATTGCAGATGTCTCATATAAGTGGGCAATGATATAAGTCTCTTAGGTATGCAGCACTTAATAAAAAATCAACTTTACCTAACCACGTAATATGTTGTGATCTTATAGACCTTTGTGCGTGGGCGATCATAGGGCAGAGCTTCTGAAGGGTCTCAATTTTTAGAGGTACCATTGGCATGTCCATGGTCGATAATCTATTTTAGCATAAGCGCTTCAAATAGATAGAATCCAGATTGGTTAAAACAGAGACAAGCAGCGAGAAGCGTATTCAAGTAATATCTTATGAATAAAGCTCTTTGGACGAAAGTGATCAAGTTTTAGAATGAATAGGAAGGCTTCAGCCAGGTTACCATCTTTATTCCATTCATCAAGCACAAATTCTTAATAAATATGCTAATGTTGTGTATTAAAACGACAGATAAAAGACTCAAAGATGAAATAGTTGAAGAAACAAGGAAATCCTTATACACTACAAAGACAGGTAAAGTGAGTACATTTTTTGTAAGTTTTCAGTTAAATCGTCTTTAATTACCATATGTGGAAACGGAGAAGCGTGTCAAGCGATGACTTCAGACTTACCCTACGCCTAATCAAAATGGGCTAACTCGAATATATATATATAACTTAGTGACACTTCTGGTTAATCAATTTTTTAGGTTTTTTCTTTATTAATGTAACTGATAGGCCTTCTTTTAATACATCTCAAGTACTTGTGGATAACGCAACTTATTAACTGAAAAGTAAAATAAAATGACCATGGGCAAATAAATTCAAGTAATTTTTGTCAAGAAGAACTGGAATACACGTTGGTTGAAAAGATAGAGCCAGATTAGCCACTGGTTGGGTGTTGTAAAGCGTGATTTCAATTCTGATACTTAGTCTGAACATAAAAAACCTTTTTTTAAAAATCTGAGAAATATCTCTATCATCAACCTAGAAAACATGAATATTTCTGGTGATTGGTGATACCACCAGCTGAGTTGTCGTAATCTAGTATTACTAGTTTTTGGAACTTCTTCTTCAAAATTCAAAACTGTATAAACTTGTATAATGCTACCCACGTCTAGCTTATTTGAATATGAAAGCGATTTGCACCAATCTTTATATTGTAGCCTTCGTAAATATCCAAGCATATGTCATAGTAATTTTGAACTAGACACTGTAGTATTCAACCAAGGCGTATTACTGAACTAAATAAAAAAATTAAGAAAAACTTTATTGTTCTAATCTGGAGTGTATTAGTCTTATGCGAAATATTTACATCCTAAAATCAACGATATTTTCTATCATAGTCTTACCGCCGAACTCCACAGAAAGGACTTCAAATCAAAAAAGCCCTTGAAGAAATTAATAAATAGAGACATTCTGCTCCTCCATACTGTCATAGGAATTACGAAGTTTTGGCAATCATTCTAGGTATATAAAATCTTCATAGGACTTAGAT